ATCTTCATTTAAAAAGAAAAAGAAATATGCTTAAAATTCACTGTATGGAAGAAATATTTTTATAGCAAACATTATTTGGACACTAACAATATGCCAGGTGCCATTGCAAGGGCTGTACATATATTTCTTCTTATAATCCTCACTACAACTCAGGCAGGCACCATTACTCTATCCACCCAATAGATATTAAAAATGACACTGACTTGGCTTGTGTGGCTCAGTGGTTGAGCATCAACTTATGAACCAGAAAGTCACAGTTTGATTTCCGGTCAGGCACATGCCCAGGTTGCACCCAGTGTGGAATGTGCAGGAGGCAACTGATCAATGCTTCTCTCTCATCATTGATGCTTCTATCTCTCTCTCTCCCTTCCTCTATGAAATCAATAAAAATATATATTTTTTTAAAAAGAATAGAATAGAAAATGACACTGAATTTACTTGGAGCCTTTTTTTAATACCTAGATTAAGAACATGGTTGGTTTCTCCTTTGTTGCCAATTTTCTGGAATTCAAATTACACTTACTGTTCATTACTGGAAGGGAGTTTTTTTTTTTTTAGAGGTTTCTTCTTTTTTTGTCAAAGAAAGGAACAAAATTTGGTAAAGTTTGAAGCCAAGCATTGAAACCCTTTTAAGAAAATATCTAATTCAACTATTTTCTAAGGAGACAGTTTCACTGTCCAGAAATACCTTTGAGTTCAAAACTTTTTTTTTAACGTCCATCAATTCCTTGGAAATAATACTTAGGAATGTAAGATGGTTAGAAATATGTACATTACTATTCTCTTAAGGCCATTTGATGCTAAAAAGAGAACTTCTTTTAGAAACTCATTTTGTTTTTGCAAGCCTATAAAATTTGAAAAATAATTTGAAATATTTTGTGAAACATCATATTCCAAGAGATTCATCCATCCTCCCAGTCTGTTTTATTTCCACACCTAAACGTATCCAATTTGTACCCTCTTCTAGAACTAAAAAAAACAACACCATAAAAACACCAAACACACACACACACACACACACACACACACACACACACACAAAAATAAATAAATAAATAAATAAATATAAATAAATAAATAAATAAAAACCTTTAAAGGAGGAGAGAAAAAATGCTTTCAAATAAACTGTGATGCTTAGATTTGAGTGGTAGTCTGCAGATCTTGCTTTTGCTCATAGGACCTCTTTTAAAACTATAATAGCCGCGATATAAGGCACTCCTTCTTAAGTTCCGGGTGCTGTGCAAGCTTTCAGTATTGTGTTAATTAGATTCTTTCAGGATGCAAAGAACAGAGATATGATCATTTGGCTCAATTAATTTAGGCTTATTAAAAATAATACGATATGGGGAAGTAGAAAAGATAGATAAAGCTGTCATTGGCAGGCACTTGGAACACTAACTTTTCATTATAGCTGCTCAGCAACAACTGAGTACTAGGCATAGCCCCAGTCTAGGAGGATAAGCTACCCTTTGGTGACTTCATAGGAGCCCCAGGATTCTTGCCAAGTGCATGAGTCAGCTGTCCTGTCTCTATTTCCCTCTACCTGCTTATTTTTTCAAATCTTGCTACTGACTACTCACTTTCTCTCTGCCTCATAGCTTTGCTTACTCATGGCTTCTGTTTCCTGTCTTCCTTCTCCCTACTTCTGCATTTACTCAATGCTGACTCTCCCTGGATGTTTCACACTCTAACTTTGTAAGATAGAAGCAGGGGCACGCCTCTCTGCCAGGCATCATCATGGGCCATGAGTCTTCAGGTCATGTCAATCTCTGTTGAGCTGGCAGGGCTACATGACAAAAAAACAAGGCTAACACACTTGTAACCCACCTATAAAATAAGCTCTTTGGTGCTTTTCAGGAGAGAGCAATACAACTGGCTAAGTGCCTTAAAAGGCCTGCACAAATGCTATTATTTAACTTTGTAACTAAGCAAACGCACAAGTTTTATAGAGTAAATCCTAGCATCATCCTCCTCCTCATCTTATCTACCTTGTATAATAATATTTAAAGTTCAACAAATACTATCTTACATAAATGTATTGCTCTGGCTTATCAAATATTCTTGTTACTGGAGAATAGTTTGGTATACTAAATGAGTATTGTTGATTAAAACAAAACACTAGGATGACAAAGCCTAAGGGCATAATCCAGCAGTTTTCAAGTTGAGGATGTAATACAGCAGTGGGGGCCAGGCAGGAAGAGAAAGGAAGCAGCAAAACCAGCTGCTCAACCAAAGCATCCAGGAATTTATTTTTTTCTATTTTTCACAGGACCTGAAATTTCTGCCTTAAGAAAAGATTCCATAGCTTAACAAAAGGTTTGAAAGATATTTTTAGAGCTAAACGTTCAATTCTCAGTTCCTCTTCTCTCTTTGATATGACAAAATGCATAAATTATTATTTTTTTGTTATGTTTTGCCTTTCTTTCTTGGTTTTAAAAAATGGAGATAGTGGCAGTTCTTTGGTAGGTTTGCTATGTGGGTCCAAAGAAATGGAGTATATAATGCAATGCACTGGCATCTTGAAACTGGGTAAGAGTTGGTTTCTGTCACTAAGTACTAATTGTAAACCTCTACTGGTCATGATTTCACCTGTCATTGCTGGTTTAGGTAAATATTTTTCAGCATCATCATAAATACAATGCTGGCTAACTTGAGAGTTATATACAGTGTGTGCTATAGAAATATATATATTGAAATAAATACATATATTATAAATGTCAAACTATAGTATTGGGAAAACTTAGCATTCCAGAACTTTTTCATTGAATGCTCAAAGAATTAGGAAGAACATAAGGAAAAGATTATTGTGGGTAATATGTATGGATTATTCACACATATTATCTAACATGTAACTCAGTTGTATTTTAAGTCATAATTTCTTTAAAAAGAGTTTTTCAAATATAATGTATTGTCATTGTTATAATTATGGACCCATTCCTGGCTTTATATACTTCTTCTTTTTTTATAATATATTTTATACAGAAAGGAAGGGAGAGAGATAGAGAGTTAGAAACATCGATGAGAGAGAAACATTGATCAGCTGCCTCTTGCACATCCCCCACTGGGGATGTGCCTGCAACCAAGGAACATGCCCTTGACCTGAATCGAACCTGGGACCCTTCAGTTCGCAGGCTGATGCTCTATCCACTGAACCAAACCGGTTTTGGCTATATACTTGTTCTTAACAGCATTTTAAAACATTAATTTTACCTATGGATAATGTTCCATTTTCCAAATCTTTCCAACAGTGAAATCATCATACAAGACACACAATTGTAGATATCAAGAACACAAATGCAATTATAAGTCTATTACCTTACATGTACAAATGTTGGTGATTTTTCTAACTGGACAGGTTGTGAGTTCCATCCACACAATCAGAATGTGTAGGGCACAATCAATCTCTCTCTCTCTCTCCCTCTCTCTCTCTCTCTCTCTCTCTCTCTCTCTCTCTCTCTCTCTCTCTCTTTCCCCCTTCTCTCCTCTACCTCCTCCCTCTCTAAAAATCAATTTGCAAAAAGCATGTTCTTGGGTGAGAATTTTTTTAAAAATGTGATCTTAATAAACCACTTCATCCTTCTAGTAAGAATAATCAATGGTCATATGCCTCAGAGGCATGGGCTAGCGTCGCTTAGTACAATCCAAGTGTTGCAGTCAATCCATATTAGTTACCAAGGGGATAGTTAATACCATTCATACTTCATACATGTTGGGAGAGAGACCCCAGAAAGAACCTGGACTCATTTATTGGAACCAAATTCGCCACATGCCTCTTGTAAAAATCCTTGGAGAAAACTTTCTCAGAGATCCAATGAGCATTCTGAAAAACTGTTTCAAGGATAGGGCAGCTGTAGGACAATCTTTTGTCTTCTAGAAAAATTGATTTCCTGTATAAGTAAGCATAATCCACAATGCAAGTCACACATGTAATGTTTAAGAAGTAAAAAGAAATATGTGAAATTTAGTAATTATATTTTATGTTATCTCAACATGTCATTAATATAAATGTTATTGAGATATATTTCATTCTTTGTACTAAGTCTTTGAAATTCAGGATGTGTTTTAAACTTATGGTACATCTCAATTCTAACTAGTCATATTTCAAGGGCTCAGTAGCCACATGCAGCTAGCTAGTGGCTGCTATTTCGGACAGACCTGGTCTGGTCTAGGATTATGGAGAGGTGGTCCTCAAAGTATTGTCCTTTCTTTTCAGGAGGACCAAATACTTATGAAGATTATTCCTTACCCATGTAAAGAAAGCTTGAAAGCCCACTCTATGATTCTTCAGCTTTTTATCCTGTCACATGCATGTTCCTTTCAGTTAATCTGGTAATGCAAAAAGTGGGGCCAATTCAACACATTTTCTGTATTTTTCTCCATGAAAAGATCTGGTTTAGAAAGAACATGAAGGGAAGACATATCTGAGCTCAAACCCTATCTTTATCCTTACAACTACTGCAGAGACTTCCACTCATCCCTAATGTCTGCCTTCCCCTTCTGTGGAGATAGAAAACTTAGCAGGGCACCAAGCCACTGAGAAAAAGAACTGTTACATTTCCAGTCTATTAAGCAGCTAGACCAAAGGCTGTAAATGGAAGTGTCATAGGGAAGCTTTCTAAAGAACAGCATGTGTACCTTCTTTGACCTCGTCTTCCTTCCTTCTATTTAGAACACATGTGCTTCCATTTTGGATCAGGAGGTCAAGGCCATGCATACCCTGAAGCATTGTAACAGCTCACCTCACAGACTTTTACATAAGAGGAATAAACTCCATAAGTGCCACTGCAGTTTTGGATTTTCCATCACTTGCAATGGAAATCCTAAAATATGACCTTGGGGGTAAAGACTTAACCTCTAAGTTCATAAGAATTAAATGTGAAAGTGTTCTAGTGCTTAGTACAAAGTAGGCCTGTATACGGTTATATTTTTTAAAGTATATTTAAATGACAAATCCACTAATTGTGTAGGTTTCTCAATACAATCATTTGTTCCTCTTCCAGCTCAGCTTCCTGACTTCTTTCTGACCTACTTATAGATGATACAAAGATCTTCACTGCATTTGCATTTCTCTCCAGAAAGTCACCTGACTGCCAGTATAGTCATGCTCATGAATGCCTAGTGGCTCGGAAAAGCCTCTGTACGAACCTGTGGGATAAATATTCAGAAAGGCATTCTTAGAGCAGTTGGCAATGCTATTGTGGAATTTGTGAAGCAATAAGATAACAAGATCACGAGGCCCTTCCTCTCAACCAAGCAGATCTATTTACTGTACTATTATTTTTCATAGGAAAATAACATCATGAAAGGATTCTTTTAACAGGTTTCTCACTTTAGTAAGAAGCAGAGGGTGAAAAGCATAAGAACACCCAATGTTGTATCAGTTGTTTTCAAGTTCTTTTTTTGTAGAGGAACAATATGTGAAAATTTTCAAGGAGCCCTATGTTTTAACAAAATTTCAAGTGATATAAGGAAGCTTTACTGTAGAATTCCATAAAGTTACCTGCCCACATAATTGAAGGTTCTAGAGGATGCCAATGTGTTTAATTTATACATAACACATTTTTTATACCTTATCATTTATGATGCTTCCAAAGAATGGTTAAAAACAAAAAAATATTTAATTAAAAAAAAAGGCATAGGACTCAACCTAAAAGAACTCCCAAAGACTAAGGCACACAATACTGAAACAATTTGAGCAACAAAATAAATTATAATAATATTGGTTTATAATTCAAAGAATAAAACAACATCCATACATCCATACTGATATAAATAAATGATTGAATAACTAAATACAGTGGGGATGAGGGACAAATCTTTTTTTGCAAGAAATTGCAAATAATATATTTAGATACTAGTGCATAATTTCCTGTACTTTGGGTATGGGCTAGACTTAGTGAATTGCTTTCAAAGTATAGCAAAGAAACAAGGTCTGGAAAGAAAAAGTCAGAACTTTACAGTGGAGAAATCTGGAATACATCACCTTAATTAACCAATCAGTCAAGGTTAATATCAGTGATAAGTCATGTGGGCATCATGTACACTATGATATGATACAATGACAATGGCACTTTACCTCTGTGGAATTCTTCACCAAATCCATAATCTCATTCTGATCATGAGAAAATATCAGACAAACCTAAGTTGAGGAATATTCTACAAAATACCTGACTGATACTATTAAGATAGGACAACTTAATGGGCTGAATTCTGGAACAGAGAAAGATGTTAGTGGGGAGAAAAAACAAAACAAAACTGGTGAAATCAAATAAAGTCTATAGCTTAGTTAATAGTTTTGAAACTATTACCAAAAATGATTACTAAGATGTTAACATTAGGAGAATGTTGAAAGAACATTTGTAGGAAGCCAGGTGGGTGCTGTTAAAGAACAAAAATTCTTTCCAGCCGAAACCGGCTTGGCTCAGTGGATAGAGCGGCGGCCTGCGGACTGAAAGGTCCCAGGTTCTATTCAGGTCAAGGGCATGTACCTTGGTTGCGGGGGTCATCCCCAGTAGGGGGTGCGCAAGAGGCAAGCTGATCGATGACTCTCTCTCATCGATGTTTCTAACTCTCTATCTCTCTCCCTTCCTATCTGTAAAAAATCAATAAAATATATATATGTTAAAAAAAATTCTTTCCAGTAAATTTGAAGATCTAATTGGCTTTGTTGGGCAATTGATGGATTGGGTAGCCTCCCCTCTAGGAAGTACAAAGCTCTGAGAAGATGTACAGTAAGGAAGGCTTTTATAGTCAGAAAGGGGGAGGGGCAAGAAAGTTATTAATAAGAAAAGAAAGGATTGTTTCAGGCAAGGTTACCCTCCCTTGGGGAAAGGTTGAGATCATATCAGGCAAATTGATTCAGCTTACTTTGTGTGTTTGTGTGTTGGGGTGTATAGGTGGAGAAGTGGATGGAGAGGATTATCGCAACAGATTACCTCAGGGGTACCTACCAGAAAACTCCAGACTAAGTTTATATTCCTGGAGAAGTTTGAAACTGCAGTGAGATCAGGTATCAAGTCTAGTTTCAGTGTGGGCTTTGGCACAAGTGACTCTATTTTGGGTCTGTGGTTTTCTCTTTAACAATGCCCAACACTATTCTAAATTATAAATGTAAATATAGTTCATAAACATATACACTGAGTGGCTAGATTATTATGACCACCCCATCAGTACTTTGTTGGGCCACCTTTTGCCTTCATTATTGTGGCGATTCTCCTTGGCATTGACTTCATGAGATGTTGAAAGGTGATGCTAGGAATCTGACACCATGCCTGATGAATAGCACTGTCCAGTTCTGTGAGATTTGATGGTTGTGGAACCAGCTGCCTGACGGCTCTTTTAACTTTATCCCACAAACGCTCAATTGGATTGAGTTCTGGTGATTGTGGTGGCCACCGAAGCAAGGTAAAGTCTGCCTCATGTTCTTGAAACCACTCCTGCACAATACAAGCACCCTGACATGGTGCATTGCCTTATTGGAAGAAGCCATCTCCATTGGGATACACCATCAACATGATAGGATGAACTTGATCAGCAACGATACTTAGGTATGTTGTGCTATTCAGACGTTGTTCCACATGAATTAAAAGGCCCAAATCATGCTAGGAAAACATGCCTCAAACCATAATACTGCCCCCATTAGCTTGAAGGATTGTATTTATGCTTGTGAGATACATGCTTTCATGCTGTTTCTGCCAAATTCTCACTCTGCCATCTGCATGATACAACTGGAAACATGATTCTTCAGACAACGTGATGTTTTTCCAATGCTCCATTGTCCAATCCTTGTGTTCCTGTGCAAATTGGAGACGCTTTATCTTGGTAACTGCAGACAGCAAAAGTGTTCGAACAGGCCTTTGGCTTCCATATCCCATACAATGCAGTGTATGGCTAATTTGCCTACAAACATCAGGTGGTCATAATAATCTGGCCACTCAGTGTATATTACTATGTAATATCCATAGAAGAGATAGTTCTCCCAAGAATTATTAAATAAGAGAAACATACAGGGAGTTAAAATACAAAAATGAATCAGAGCATATATGACAATCACCTTTAAATGATGGTTAATATTTGTATAATGCTTAATGTACACCAGCACTATTCTAAGCCCTTTATATATGCATATGGAATCATTTAATCCTACTGAAACTCTACAAAATAGGTACTATTACTATTCACAGTTTTAGAACTTTTTTATTTTGAAATAACCATACATTCATGGAAAGTTATAAAGGAATATACTGTATAGAGAAGTTCCATGTATATTTCCTCTAGCCTCACCCAATGTTAACATCTTACACCACTATCACAATATCAAAACCAAGAACTGATATTTGGATAATCCACAGAGTTTAGTAATATTTCACCACTTATACAGGTACTCATTTGTGTGTGTATATTTTGTCCTTTGTGTTATTCCCTCAGAGGAGGAAACTGAGGCTTAGAAAGGCTCAGTAATGTTCCCAAGATTACTTGATTTGTATATGGTAAAGTTGTTCTTCAAATGTGGGTAATTTAATTCAGAGTCCATACTCTTAATCACTAAGCTCTACTGTATCTCAGCTTCGAGTAGTAAGTAGTAACTTGAAGGGATGTAATCATTTAAGCATATCTAAAGGAAGAATCTGTATATATAAAGATCAAGGGTCATAATATCCACAATGACTGGAGGCTCAACTGAACTGAACGCCAGGCTGTGCATGCAGCAGGGATGAACTGCGGAGAGACAGAGAGGCAGAGCTGATCAGTAGCAGCCTCGCCAGCAGCCAAGCCTCTCTCTCTCTTTCAGAGGTCAGCAGTTCAACCACTTGCCAGCAGCCAGGGGTGGCTGCTGATGATCCCCACCTCTATGATCAGGCCTGGAGATAGGCCTGGAGATGCTGACTGGCAGAGAAACTGACTAGTCAGCACCTAATCTGGGTGAACTGTGAAAGCAGAACCTAAGGTGGGGGCTGAGGAGGAGTTTTAAGGGTAACAACTATTTGGTGTAAGATGTAAGAAAGCAGTTCAATTTTTTTAATGTCTGGTTTGGCATATGGCTGGCTATCAGTCCAAATATAGGGATTGTATGTTTTTGTCTGCCAAGAGCATCCCCTCCTGCTGAAAAAGGCTTCCCCTCGCCCCATTTAAGCAATCCTATCCTACCTAATCTATCTATACTAATGAAAGGGTCAACTGGCTATCTTCCAAACACCCAACTTCCTTCTGGACAAAGCCATGTGGTGGGGGCCAAGGCAGAGACCGTTAGGGGTGATCAGACTGGCAGGGGAGCGCAGTTCGGGGTGAGATCAGAACGGCAGGGGAAGGAAGTTAGGGATGATCAGGCAGAGGGGCAAGGCAGGGGTGATCAGGCCAGCAGGCAGAGGGGTTAGGGGTGATCAAGCAGGCAGGCAGAGGGGTTAGGGGTGATCAAGCAGACAGGCAGGTGAGTGGTTAGGAGCCAGTCATCCCAGATTGCGAGAGAAATGTTCAACTGCCTGAGGGTTCCCAGAGTGGGGAGGGTACAGGTTGGGCTGAGGAACCCCACTCTGTGTACGAATGTTGTGCACCTGACCTCTAGTGTAATCATAAGTATGTTTAAGGTTAAAGGTAACAGGTCAGAAGAAAACCCTTTGAAAAATAGACTGGCACCAACCTAGCCTGTAACTGTCTAAGGACAAAGATTTGTGACCAACTGACTTCAAATACTATGATGCAGGCATCATAAAAAGTAATTCTTATCATTAAGAAAAGAGTATTTCAAGCTATCTGAAAAGAACTACATCTCAGGAACAACAAACAGCCCTTGTTCTTATTCATGGCCACATGAACATTAGTCATACATTTATTTATAATGTCTCATAAAATATGGAGTCTTCAAGAGCTATCATTGTAAACTCAACCGAAAGCTCCTTGAGGACCGGGATAGTGCCTGTCTTGTTCATGCTCCTCTTGTTGAGAGAGTGAATGAATGATTAAACACACTGATCAGTGGTATGTCAGCAGCACTGCCCCCAACCCCCCATCCCCCCACCCCCCACACACACACATTCTGCTGGAATCCTTTAAGTGCTTTTTATTTCTCTTCAATTTCCAACATCTAATCTATTCTCAAGTCTTAAGGACCATTTTTTTTACTTATTTATTTATTGATTGATAGTTATTTATTTTTTACCACCAAATCTACCATCCTATCTACAGTAGTATCCATGTACCCAGCCTTCCTTCCTCTTAAAATGGAATTTATAAATGTCCTTTCTCTTGTCTAAGGTTAAGGCTTCCTTTTTTTGTTTTTAATTTTAACCAAGGAATCATTTTAACAAGGATT